GCGATATTTTTTCTTTTTTATTAGTTGTTAAGTGAAAATTAATCAAATAACAAAAGGTACAATGCTTGAAATAGGAGAATGATGGAAACCACTGCAGCGGAGAAAAAAATATCTGGATTATTTAAATATAGCATTGCACAAAGGTTTATTTCCTTTAAAAGACCTATATCAAGAATGAAAAGTGTTTAAGCCATGTTCTTTTTTTTGCTACACACTAATATGCTTTAGAAACATGATATATTATTGTGAATAATTTGGCAGATTTGTTAAGTCAGTCAGCAATGAAAGTTTAAGTTGGACATAAAGGCAATATTTATATTTTTATGTAGAAAATCAATACAAATACATTGACAAATTTAAATAAATGTCATGCGGCAATTTAATTTTTTAAAGGTGCATACAAAACAAAGCAAGAATGTACACCAGAAAGAGATTACTCAAATTTAGTTCAGCACAAAAACTAACAGAAAAGATTACAGTCCATTATGATTGGTAGGAAGCCTGAAAAAAGATAAATTATTTGACCCCTTGTAATTAACATAATAAAGATATAAAAGAAAGCAGAGGAGTATGACCTTTACAATTAAGCAGAAACCTGAAATCATTTTACTTGACAGAATGTTCGACACAGATTTTTTTTTTGTATGAGTGTTTGTTTAGTAGTTTGGAGAATGCTAAAGGCATACACACACACACATAATATATATACATATATATATATATATATATATATATATATATATATATATATATATACACGCTAACCATTTTCATACAAGGCTATTTTTTGATCACAAGAAAATCTGCATGCATCTGAAGGCATACGCAATTAAAAATTTATTTATCCTTATAATTTTTTTTTCCTTTTTATAGCTTATGACCTTGTGAATCTTATACATTTTTAATACTTCATTTCATGGTTAGTCAAGTTGAGACACAATTTTATTATTTTCAGGAGAGACCTGTTTTAGAAAAATAAAATACAATCAATAAGATCAATACAAACAACAAAATACATTAGTATAATGCTATCAAACATTTCAAACAAAAGCTACTAAAGAGTTGTTTCGTTTTGGGTTGTTTTGGGGTTTTTTCAGTTTATCAAATTTAAACATTTATACTTAACATTTAACACAAATCTGCACAGACTTATTTCAGTGTAAGTTAATGTTAGATGTGAATAGTCACGAACAACTCGAGGGATTTGAAAATGAGATTAAATTAGGATTTACATGAACTTGCACATTCCTTCACATGTGCATCAGTTTGATCGAAAGACATTTGTCCCCGTCTATGTTTGGATCCTGAGCAGTTAAAATGCTGGCACAGCCAGTTGACTCCACAGGCAGTTGGGAAGCGTGAGCCACTCGGTGGGATTTCACATTCCTCGTTTACAGTGTCCCAAACATGTCTCCAAGTGTCTGCAGAAGTCACGACATCACCATTTGACAGACTGATGTCATATGGAAACGTGTCACATGAGAAGCTGCAAGGCAGTATTTGTTAATCTTTCCTGTTATTAGGTGTTCCAGGCTCTCATGATACGTACCAACATCAGTCATGTGACATTGAGTTTATGGATGTTTCCTAGGAATCGCAAAAAAAAAATGATAACATAGAAAATAACAATGATGTTTTGTTAATATCATTATTGTCTGAATATTTTTTAAATTTTATTCAAGATATTAAATTAACATTATTAATATCTAAAAGTGGATATTCTATATTTGACGATGAAAAAATAAATTAAATTATTCAAATGCTATGAAAATGTCACTTAAATCCAGCACGACTGTACTCTTATGTAAAAATGACTAATTTTAATTTATCATTTAGCTCATTTAATTTAAATTTAAAAATAAGAACCTTTTGTTTAAACAATTTTTATTTGAAATTTGTGTAATATTTTGTTGTTACAATCAGAAAAAAAATCTAATCATCTAATCTAATCTTTTGATAGGCAGTTTGAAAGGCTACATAATAAAAGTTAAGACAACTTTTACATGAATTTAAAAAATACAATGACTTTTGATAGGGAAGGTATTCAAGTTTAAAGTGTTTTAGTGTTTGAACACACACACACACACACACACA